CAATAATATTAAGTGATCCAAATTTCTTACATGAAGAAGTATTGTCAGTATTATCATTTTTTTTTTTTTTTTTCTTGCATTTTATTTTTGTTGATTTTTCTGCTTGGTAACCTTGTTATTAAAGAGTTGTTTGTAGCAGACAGGCTTCCTGAGATAAAGCAATTCTTGTTCAAATCTCATTGGAACCTAATTTATTTCTAGTCCATGCTTAAACATAGAATGTAAATTGAGAATTGTGACCAAAAGGAACAGAAATCAGATAATTGAAAAATTATTCAAATATTAATTATAATGACAATAATTCATCTTAAGGGATTTAGACAATACTTTATACTTGGTTATTTTAATTAAGTTGTAAAGATAGCAAATAACCATTTATCCTGAGAACTTTTCAGTTATGCTGTTTAACATTTTCATAAACAAATATAATTTTAGTTTTATTTATTTATTTTAAAGCAGTTAGTATATTACCTACACTTCCTGTATACTTGACAGGAATTTAGGCAACTGGGAAAATATTAGAAGGGGAGAAATTTGAAATAACTTTGGAATTTATAGAATTAGGAATTCTTTTAGCAATTGAGGGGTGGTGATGTGTAGCTCTCCCTTACTCTTATTCTAGAGAGTACATTTTCTTTTTAATTTGACAATATGGAAAATGCTCTTGAAGAATAAGTTTTAAGTTTTGGGCACAGAAGTGTAAAGGAATGGTAAAATTACTGGGTGTGGTTTTAGAAAATAAAAATTGTTTATATTTTGTATGTTTATAAGAAGTAACATTCTCAATTAGAATGTTTTTGATAAAATTTAATAATCACTGGAAATAATGAATGTAAATTAAGTACTTGTTTAAATTCTGGATTATTCAGTAGGAAAGTAATGTTTATCAATTAGCTTATAAAATGGAATTGGCAAATTTTGGCTGAGAATGTTTACTGTAAATACTTTATAAAAGGCATGAATTTATATTTTCCTGCATTCAGTCTACTTGCCAGATATCTTTATAAAGTCTTGTTCATGGCATGCCATAATAGTTGAAGAAAATCTCTCTCCCATAATTACCATACTTGTCTAAGACTCTATTGTAATGGTTATTTAAAAGAAAAATTACACACCCATCATTAAATCATAGTTTTTGTATCTTTGACATATGCAAATGAAGAGAGAAAATTAAAATTATCCTTAAAGTAGATTTAAATAGAACAGCATTATGATTATTCTGTTTTTAAAAGCAAGAAATATTCTAAGCCAGAATAAAAATCAATCTTTCATACTAGCTGTTATTGACAAAGTAGATTAAATCAATCTCTTAATTCTTTAAGAGGTCACTATATGATAGTTGAGTCAGTCTATCCTGTTGGTTAAAAGAGATAATTATATTTCTTGCAGATTAAGTCAACAAAATGTATTGGTCCTATGACCAATACATTTTGTTGACTTACAAAAAAAAAAATGTGAAAAAAATATTGAGCACATAGATAATTTATCATATTCAAATAATTGTATATGAAATTTACATGAAATTTTAGAGTATATATTCATAAATTTAATGTACAAATAGCCACTGAACAGATAAAAGATTAAAAATGATGTTGAATTCACAGCTTATCTCTAATTTATGATTGTTTTGTCCTAAAGCAATTATTCATCATGTAACTAGCATAGTAACCTATATACAAAAAAAAAATAATTATGGATTAAATTTAGTTTTCATTTTAAATTAAGGCATCAGTATTAGTTAGGGAAAATATAAACAAAAAAAATAGATGTGCAGTTATAATGATATCAGTAGTAACTAATAGATATTACTACATACATACATGCGCACACACAACCTTGCACTTTTTGTTTTTTCTGCTTTTTCTGCTTTCTGTGTGACAGAAAATCAACAAATATAAAAGTGAAAACTACTTTTATATAAAAGGTGGTTAGTATACCTATTTCATGACATTATTTTCCTTATTATTATTATGTGTCCTATAATAATAAATTTGAATCAACTGGGCACTGCAGTGAAATATCACTATTGATAAAATCTGTTACTTTATTTGGAATGAAAAGAGGAATTTAATAAAACCTGAACTGACATCTTTATAAATTAAAATTTAGGAAAGTTTAAATATTTGGTGATATTTACATTGATTCAAGGCTGATTTTTGACTTAAAATTGAGCTGTTGTACATTCCAATATTTTGTTACAGTTTTGCTTTTCCTTTTTTTTGTTGTTTAACAACAACAAAAAAATTTTTCTTCAGTAAATATTTTTTTTCAAATACTGTTGCAAATCAAGTCTGTACAATAAATTAATTTGTGAGGTTTAGATTTAGCACATAAAATTGTTTTATATATATATATATATATATATATATATAATGATTTGGAGAGATAATTTAATGATCAAATGGGGAAAAATTTATATTACATGTTTTGTCCTTCAAAAAAAATTCAGTTTTTCCTTTTTATCATTGAATTCTTTTGACAAACAGCAAGGAACTTTTGAAAGTTTTTTTGTTTTGGTCTATTAAAAATGTTACAACTCAATTTCATCTGGTTATTACTATCAATAATACCTTGCTGTATCAGTTGTTATTAATGACAGAATGCTTTATGTTGGTTTTATATGCTTTAAACTTGATTAATAGACATTCACTTTATAAAATGAAATGATTCTCTTTTCATCTTGCCTTTACAGTAGTCCAAATGTTTTGCACTTAAAACCAGGTTGAACATAAGGTGTACAGGTGTACTGTAAACATACAAATTTAATCTCACAATGAAAGCTATCAGCTTTATTTTCAGCATCATAGTAAAAGTAATAACAGCAGCAGCAGTAGCAGCTGTGCCTTGTAAGGGACTTGAATAGGCTGATTGAAGGGGTGGGACCATGTCACATGTGAGCTGACTCATTTTCTTTTATGAACACAATTCCTGCTGCTTTCCATTCAGTACTGAGTTTGGAGTTAGTGTTCCTAAGCTTCTGCTTTCAGCTTCTCCCTTGCCATGGCTACTGAACTTAACAATGAGGTAATTTAGTATCTTTTTCTTTTAACAACTTATTCAAGGAATTATAATTGCTTTGTTATTCCAATAATATCTGCTGCCTTTTTTATTTGTTATTTTTCTAGTATTTACTTTGAAAATATACCTACCATGTGGCAGTCATCAAGACAAAAGCCTCTTACTTCAGTTCAAAGTAATTGTTTTTTGTGAAGATTGCTTTAATTTCTTCCTTTTCAGTTTAATTTTCAAAATTGTATTCATCTAAATTCAGCTGTCAGACATGGACCTGAAATATTCTTTATTTAGATCTATTTTTATTTTTCCTTAGTGTGTGTGTATGTGTTTTAATGTACATGGAATAATGGTAGAAAACAATTCTTTGTCTGCAGAGGCCTTTTATACAAAGAAAACAACTTAATTATTCTCATCTGGAGGCATGTTTTTTGTGTGTGTGTGTGTGTGTATATATTAAGTCATTTTTATGTTTATACATTCTTTTTATAGATACAAATATTTAAGTAAATGCTCTGTTTATAATAAACAGTATTAAACAACATTTACCGGCCTGAATGTCTTAAAATAATTGTTGGACTTTGTCCATTTCATAATATATATATATAAATTTGTGTCTCTTTAATTCCACATCAAATTTTTCTCATTTTACATTTTCAAAATTAAAACTTTTAGAGAAATATTTTTTTAAACATCTTTAAAGTAAATAACTTGGCTTTAATATAAGAATATCAGTCAGTTGTATGCCATGTGTGATACACGCTTAGGCAATCACGTATCTTTCAATACATGACTGACAAGGTAGATTTTTCCCGCAGTAGATTGCCATTTCTTTCTGTGGTAAACCAGTTGCCATCGAAGGCTATAGAACCCAGTCTGTCCTATTTACTCATAGCTGGTGGAAGAAGATGATTCCTACCTTTCCCAAGGGTATTAGGACGTAAATGAATGTAATGGTTTCGACTGGAATTCGAACTCAGCTCTCTGATTCCTCAATTTGAACTGCTATCCATTACTCCATCGTGCCTCCATAAGAAAGACATTGTTATAATCAAGAAATTGAGCAGGACTCCTGACAAAAAGTAGCAATAATCCCCAAAATTCTTTTGTAATTTTTTAAATAAAAAGATGTCTTTTCTTTAAATATCATTTGTGCTATAAAGTTTGATGATGTTACATTTTATTTTATAAGTAAACTTACTTTTTTTAGTTAAATATGGAATAAGTGGCTACTTTGGACAAATTTTAACATGCCATTTCAAAAAATAGTTTATGAAAATAATACTGGCAAAATGTGTATACCTAAAGAAGTGATTTCTCATAAAACTGAACAAGTGAGATGTGTGCATATTTAATAGTTTTCTTTCTATAATGAAAAATTCAACACTTTCTGTTTTGTAACATCAGTGCTGCAAATGCATTCTAGTATTTATAACAACGTTATATTTAAGTCTAATGTGGTTAATTTTCATCACTACTTGAAATATATTATTTAAAACTAGATACTTTAAATTTTTGAAGAAATTCTGTAGATTTTTGTGAACTTAAAATTTATTTTTGATGCTCTTATATATAAATAAATAAAAGGTTGTATTGCTGAAAGGTTCTTATACTAACCTATTGCCTAAAATCTGGTCAAATATCAAAATTTATTTTGGAACTCCTTGTTGTTGAGCCTAGAACTTTATAATACTCCCTCATATGTATTGCCTTAGAATTTATTGCAACTGGAGAGGGTGATTTCAGTTTTCTTTACACTTTCATTAAATCTTTTTCCTTTTATACAACTTTTTCTTTTATGATATTCACTTTTTATGCCTTAGATTTTTTTTTCCACCTAAGAAACAAAATGACTCACTTATTCTCACTTGAAAATAAACTTGTCCTACTGGTTTGTGTTATATATGCCTGTTGTTTGCTTTTCTCTCCTTTTGCTCTCATCATTTCTAATGCAAATTTATTTTAAAACTGTTTGGACTTTATTTCAGGTCCTGATCGTCCAATGAGTCCTCCACCACCTACAGATGATTTTATAATTGGCGACCGTGTTTGGGTCGGTGGGAACAAGCCTGGAGTTATTGCTTTTCTAGGAGAGACAAGTTTTGCCCCTGGTGAATGGGCTGGTGTTGTATTAGACGAAATGGTTGGAAAAAATGATGGCTCCGTTGCAGGAGTGCGCTATTTCCAATGTGAACCAAAATATGGTGTCTTTGCTCGGATATCCAAGTTGACTCGCACTCAACAGACCCCCAAAACAGAAGCTGGTTCAATTCCAAGTACTGCTAATGGCACCCCTATTGGAGGGCTCCCACTTAGCCGAGGAGTTACCCCTCGATCTGGACTTGCAGGCAGCCGTGGCTCCTCTACGTCTACATCTAGCCTCAACAAAATCTCTCCAACTACTTCATCATTAAATCTTTCCAAAGAAACAGGACAAAGCCCATCCAAGTATATGTTGAAGGTCGGCGATCGTGTTCTAGTCAGTGGGACAAAACCTGGAACCCTTCGTTACATTGGAGTTACTGATTTTGCTAAGGGAGACTGGGCAGGTGTGGAGCTTGATGATAAGCTTGGCAAAAATGATGGTGCTGTTGCTGGCAAAAGGTGAGCCTAACATACATTCTTGTCTATTCAGACAACCTTTTTTTTTTCTTTTTCATTTATAGAATTTATTAATGCCTTATGGGATGACTTCTAACATAAAATCAGTTGTAGATGAGTTATTCATTTTGTTTTTAACTGGACCAAGAGAATATTAGTTAAATGTTATGTGACAATATTTACCTATGGTAATTGGTTAACTAATTAACCATAGAAATTAAAACAAGAAAATACTGTGAACAGAAAAGAAGATACCCCAAATTTTTCATTTATTTTTTTTTTACTTAAGAATAAAATCAAGTTATTTTCTTAAAGACCCGTAAATTGGCATAGACAGTGGACTCGCAGAAAGGCCATATGCAAGCTTTTGACAGTTGATTAATGAGTTTGTCTTTTTGCAGACGGACACGTTGAGTAGCCATATGGTGATTATAAAATTTTGGCATGAGAAAAAAATATCTTGGAAGAATTGCCAAATTGGGAGATAAAGGAATTTAATTTCTCAAGAAGCCAAGGGTTCCAGTAAAAGCTAACTTCATGAAGGGACCAGATGGCAGACTTTGACAAGTGATTGATGGAATTTGTAAAGAGTGCTGGTTAAGAAGACACAGAGTGACTAAAAGATCTGAGAGATTTTAAGTGGTAATGTGTGATTCGTAAAAATTTTGACCGATGGGGGAGGAAAAAAGAATTTTGTAAACAAAAATTCTGGGTTATAATTTTAATGAGGCTAGCTTAGCCACACCTGCACAGCTGGGACACCATTGGTTGAGTGGTGATAGGCGGAGGTAATTTGATGTAAGGATGGGGAAGTTATTAATGCCCACTGAAGGGAGAGGGGGAGTTTACGAGAATAGCTCTCCTCCAACCTCTCCTCACGGACGAAGAGATCCCCCCGCAAAATGGAAAGTGATTAATTTTCCAAAAATAGGAAGTAATCAATTTTCCTGGCCTGACAACAAAGAGATTTCTTGTCAGAAATCGAGATTTAGTGAAAACCCCACACCGGTTTTTGGCGGTACTCATATAAACGAACATCCTCGGGCCTTTTGACAGTAGTTCCAGAAGTTGAGTTGAGTCAGTTCGAGTAGCAAGAACCAGAGTATTGCCTCACAGAAGCTGACCGAGAGATTCCACGACATCCGACTTCGCCTATCCTACCAATAGCAAGTTATACTGATGAACGAAGCTAAGCCAGCACTTAAAAACTAAACCAGTTGACTTAGAAGACCAGAACTTGCCTAAGAAGTATAAAAGTGTCACACTCCGTAGAAAATGGGCTGGGAGAAAAACACACTCCTGTATATAACAGACGGATAAAGTTAATTTGTTATTTTTTAACATATTTGAAACTCTTTGCTTCTTTTTCCTTACGCTTGTGCGATATCACCTCCAGTCAACTCATCTTAAACTACGGCCCAACACCTGATTGATCTCGTCTACCTAAGATCAAAATCACAACATGGGTAGGTTAGACTTGAGATCGAAGCAGTTACTTCGGTAACCAGATGTTGGAAGTGAGCTGGGAATGATGGAGCTGGTGTCAAACTGGTTGCAGCTGGTGTGAAGCCATTAGCATCAACCAACCATCCCACTTGGTACCCTGACCAAAGGATTTCACCGGGTAATGACGACCACTGATCGATCGGGACACAGGCTGGTGGCAGTTACTAAGAGTCAACCCCAAAATGCCGGTAGGGGAATCATTACAGTTTCGCACCGCGACTGGGAGTTGACCACAGGCTGACAGCTTAGTGTTACAGTTACCTTATTAAAGAGTTTATTTTGCTTGTTTTTCTTTTGTTAAATCTGTGCATTTTGAAAATTCAAAAAAACAAAAAACAATTTGTGATTATTTGTGTTATTTCTTCCAAATATTTTACATTATAAAAATGACAATGATTTGTGTGATATTTTTTAAAATGCGAAGTTAATTTTCTGTATTAAAATAATATAGCATTTTAAAAAAATTACTTTTCAAGAGGCCCAAAATTTTCATTTATTTATTTTTTTAAATAGTTTGCACTAAGACATATTCATCATTTGTAAAATCTCCCTGTGAAATGATAAAATATGTAAAATTTAACTTACAGGTACCTCATCTTTCACTCACTTTCAGAATAAAGTGATGTACATTAAAAAAAATTTTTGTGAAATATAATTTTCCTTGGAAATCTTGCTGCAACCAGAAATTGCCTACGGTAAAACTCCTGAATAAAAATATATCCTCAGTAAATATTCTTGGTTATTTTCTCCTTATATATATATATATATATATATATATATATATATATATATATTATTATTATTATTATTCTCAGTAAATGTTTTTGGTTTTTCCTCTACCCATTGCTTGATTTAACTGCAATGATACCATTATCATATTACAAAGACAGTACCATGTGTGCAGGCATTCCTCTGCTCTTTGTGTAAAGGATCCCAGCCACAAAATGCATGTCCTGCTACTTGTATTTGTAGCTTAGCCCTATCAGGAGATATATTTCACTATTTGCTGATTATTTTCATTCCTTTTTTTTATTTACTTTTTTATGTATTTCTCTGTCTTTTTTTGGCGGGGGGAACATGCTTTTATTCTATTAAATTATATTTATTGCTTCAGTGCTTAGATTTATACCTTAGGAAAAAATATTCTTCAAAATTTAAAAAGTTGGTGTGAAAAAGCTGGTTAGAAAAATACTTTTGAAAGTTTAATAAATACTATTAAGAGAGGAATCTTTCAGTTTTTATTTCAGTTTTAAATCCTCTAACTATTAAATTGAAGTAAAAATAAAAAATTCTGATAAAGAAAAAACAAGACAAAAATTAAATGAAAATATTTAATCTCGGAATAACTTCAGAAAATTAAGAGGATTTTCATTAATTATTAACTTCATAAATGTGGCATATTTCTTAATTTTCTATGAAAATTAAGAAAAATTGTTTCTGCTGAAATTAGGGTTATATTCACTTGATATCTTTATTAAAAATTTTAATATTTTCTTAAATACTTGGGTTGGGTTATAAATGAGTAATCAATATTTAATGTGGGTTCTTCACTTTGCTTTTGGCAAATAGCTTGAAACTTATTCTTATTGAAATCAGTCTAAAATGAATTAGTCTATATAAATTTGTCAAATATGGAAATATCAAGTACTTTTGATAATTTAGCTGCTTTAATGCAGATATAAGTTTACCTGATTTTGTTAATTTTAATTGTGTATATATATTGCTGATTTTAATGGGTTTTTTTTCTGCTACTTTTTATTAAAAAAGTAGCAGAAGAAAAAACATTAAATAAAATAATTATATTGAATATTAAAATAAATGCATATATAAAAATTCAAAATTTATAAAAATAGGTCAGTTTCTTTTTTTACAAAGCTAACTACTACTGCATATATGTTTACTTTTGTTTGTTTAATGATATTTATTGGGTAACAAAAAAAAATGTTGGTTTAAGTAAAAAGTAAGATAATTTGTTTTGACATTAACAGTATTGAATAATGTTTACTATATTGTTTCACTACCTTCTAGTTATGTCCATGCATAGCTTTATCTTTTCTGAAAATAGTTTTCTTTTTGTACTCTCCAAGCGGATTTTTTTTCATTCAGAGTATGGTTTCTTTTTTAAACTTATATGGAAGCTACACATCAAGTTGGTGCAAATGATTTTCAACACTTTATTTGGATATGTTGAATATACTTGATATTTTTTGTATTGTATAATTATTGATTATTCCCTGTGTGTATTTTGTCACTGCCAACCTTAACTGATCTACTTGGCCATGAAGCATCATCAAATTTAACAAACCAATTTTGACATAGTTGCTCATTCATAGAATGGCCTGTGTGAACTGCACAAATCTGTTTGACATGCATTTTTACCTTTCTTAAAATAAAAAAATCATATACTGAAAATGTTGCTCTATTTTCTTCCATCTTCAGAGACAGATTTAATAGATAAAAATATGTCAATTTTGTCGAAGTTAAAGAAAAAAGGTATGCTAATATGACAGCTATCACAATACATTTGAAATAATTTTTTATGAATTTAGTTAAAACTGAACACTAATGCCATTTAAAAAGAAAAAAACACTTTATTTCATCTATAAAATTTGTAAACTAGATAGAATTTTTTTTTCTAGGGAGTTTGTCTAATTTACTTTAGAAAACTAGAAAAAAGATGCTTATTCTTAACATGAAAGATTTTTATTTTGTCTTGTGGGGGTGGATGTATTTTTAGAGAAAGAATCACACATGTAATATTGTTAGCTACTTTGACATAATTCATTTTTTTTCTAATTTCAGATATTTTGATTGTAAACCCCAATATGGATTATTTGCTCCTGTACACAAAGTAACACGTCTGATGGGTGGTATGCCTAGCCCTAACACCCGATCCCTGGCTAACACAAGTCTTCGTTTATCGCGTGAACGCAGTGGCAGCCAGGAATCTGTGAGCTCAATAAGCTCTACTGCGTCCAGTGTGTCACGTAGCCGGGTAAGATTGGGTGTGACCTCCTTAAACAGCCAGGTACATGCAGCTTTACTGATGCTCTTATCTCATTTGGATAAAAATTTTCGATTTTTGCATCTCTGACTTGGCCATATCTTATGTTTTATTATTTAATATATATCTTTACATCTTTTCTATATTTTGTGACCAGGTTGCATAATAAAAAGCAGCACCACTGTTCATCATTGGTGTCTGCTGCATCAACTCCAACGTTAAACTGGACAATTACCGCTCAGAAATATTTAGTTGCTCGTTTACATTTTGTTTATTTTATCATAGAAGTCACTTGCATGAAGCAGCAGTGTTTTTTTTGTTTTTTTTGGTTTCATTTCTTATTTATCTTCATTTAAAACTTTGTACTATATTAATTTTAGAAAATCTTGCTTTAATTAAAAAATACAATTTCAAAAAGCAAAATGATATATAATAATATTGGGAGTCTATGTATGAAGTAGATATTAAAATATATGGTTTTATATTTCTTGAAAGTAAAGTTCTTCCTAGAAAAGATAAAATAACTAAGTGTAATTACAATGAAACCACACTCTTCATTTATATTATTACAATATCTCAGAAAACTACATTAATATCAAGTAATAGAATCACCAACTCAAATTTCATTGACACTATATCATTACTCTTTGCTACATTTTACAATGTTAACTTTGCCTGAAAAAAAAAAGAATATGTAAATTATTCTGAGAGGGTGCTGAAAAGTTCTTAAACTTCTCAAAATTTAACCAAATGACCAAATGTTAGATTTTTTTTCTTAACAGGTCTTTTTGACTGGGCTAAAAACTTTTCTGCATCTTCTCATATGTACTGCATTTTATTGTAATAATATAGCAACTATAGTAATCAAGATATTTATTCTTTTTGCAATGAGATACTTATTTTTCAACTTAGATTGTGGCTGTATGATAATTGTAGTAAAATATGTTAGTTCTAAGAAGTAATCAGCTTTAATGGACAAAAGTCCTTTAAGGCTTGTTTTTCAGTATGAGATGTCTATTGAGTTAGTTTTATCACTGATTGTTTAACCTGAAAGTAGTCTTTTCATTTATTCACTGTTAGTGTTGATCCTTCATCCAATTTAATGACCAGGCTAAAAGTAAATAAAAAAAAAAAAAGAAAGATATAATACAAGGATGTATTGAAAAGTTCTTGACCTGACCAAGAAGTGAATAAAAAATTCTAATGTTTGATGATTTGGTCAGACTTTGGGGAGTGAGTGAGACTTGGAACTTTCAGCATCCCCTTTATTATGTTTTTAATGAGTCTTAGTATATGACTATTTTTAAAAATTTTATTATGTAAATAATCATTGTATATTCATTAGCCATCTTCACTAAATTGTACTTGTTTACTGTCTTATTTACCATAACAATATGTACTTATTTTCCTTTTATACTGAACTATTTCTCTGCTTGAATTTATATTTACATTTGCTTTGGTTTGAATTAAAATCTGCTAATTCATGCATTGCCTTCAACTTCAAAAAGCATTTGGTTTGCAAGATAAGTGTAGACTTGTTTCTTGTCCTATATAGGTTCATATATTATTCTTATTGCATTTCGGTTTTAAAATGAATCCAGCAAGAGGTTAAAGAAAAGAAAGCCTAATAGTTTATTTTTGGAACTGATACTGCAAGATATTTCTAAATATTCTTTGTGGATTGCTTTTGTACACTTTGCACTTTGTCTAAAGCTTTAATAAAACTTTCCTAGATATTTGATTTTAAAATAAGATTTAAAAAATAATTCTACTTAAAACAGTAATTTGACACTTTTTTTTTCTCCCAAAGTGCTTAAAGCAAAATTCAGTTATTGAATGTTTTTAAATAAGTATCTTGTTTTATAGGTGTTTCTTGTTGTAGTCTGTTTGAGTTAGATTGTTTTTATTTTTAGTGTTTAGATTTCAAACTTGTAAAGCACTGAGGTGTTTCATTTTAAATGTCCAACTCTAAATTTTATTTTACAATTTTAAATTGAGTTTCTGCAATTTTAATCATTATTCTATGCCTAATTACTGAAATTGTCATTTGAGTTTTTTTTATAATTGTGCTCTTTAACATAACTGAAAATTAAGCATGTGTTGGAATATAAACATGTGAAAGTACATTTCTGGTAAAAAACTTGTTCTAATAGCTTATTTGTAGTAGAAGTATAGAGTATTATTGCCTTATATGATTTTGTATGTTTTATTTATATATAAAATGAAGCCATATTGGACACTTAGATTAATTTGCTCTACTGTTATCAATGTGAATATTCACAATTAATAACACTGCTGATAACATTGATGTTTAATTTAATTCTGCCATCAAGTCTAACACAATGCTCCAACACATTTGCAAAACAAATTTGTACATTTTAAAGTGAATTGGAGAGATAAATCTATAACTCATGTTGGAAGATATGACCTGTGTATTATTATTGCATTTTAGTTGATTGACATAACTATGATTAACAAAAGAACTTTAAAATTGGTTAAATGTTCAGGCATTCTCATTTAATGTAAATTTAAGCTGAAATAAGATTGCGACATATATACAAAATGAGACTCTTTCCATATAAATACAGATAGTTCAATCACTGAGCTTAAAGAAGCCATGTTTACAATAATAATTCTCAAACAAAAAAGATAATAATTATTTTATATATTTTCAACAAACTTTCTGACTTTCGTTTGTACAAGGGGTGCTACAAAAGTAATACTTCCTATTTTATGTTGACCTATAATGTCAGACAGATGTTAATGTTATGGTAGAGGATGAACCTTCCCAACAATAACACTTACTTTTTTTTTATCTTCTTGCATAATAGCAATATAATCTTTTTACAATTGCTAATTGGCAAATTACCACACAGGTTATTTCTTCTGATGATGAATAATCATTATCTTTTTTAAAACTTAGGAATGCTTTTCAATCTAACCCTCAAATGGTCATTTGACCAGGTTTAACATTGCTTAACTTTATAAAGTATGCAAAAGGACAGTTTTCAGTGCTATTTAAATGTTGTTTCTTTCTCTCTGTTATTTGTGTGCACGTATGAAAATATGTCTTGTTCTACTGATATTTTCTTTTAAATCCTAGTAAAAGAGTAAGGTCACATTATCAAAAATTCTATTGTGTATTTACATGAGTTTTACTGTTACTCAGTAATTTGTTTGAATTATTTTCATTATTGATATTATTAAAATATGCTTTAAATTCTACACAAATAGCTTTATACAATTGTCTATTATGAGAGGTTGATGAGCTGTAAAAACAAACCAATCAGCAATTATCTATTGTTACCTATTTACAGCTTTTTTTCTATCCTTTTTAGTTAAATGTTAAGCTGAAAATGACTAAAGATTATATTAAGTCAAATTAAACATAACTGATAAAGTTTAGTCGCTTGTTAAACAGCAGTTTTTCTTGCAAAATTAGTTTAAAATGTTTTTTTTTCTATTTTGATCTAATAAACTGCCTCTTCGTTTTGATAATCAACAATTTTTATAACATTGTTCATAGTCCTCAAATGAATTACCCTAATCTCAGAGCAATAAAGAGATTCCATGATTTCTACAATTTCATTCCCCAGCCTTTGCCTCAAATACTATATAATGTTATGCTCCCTTAAATATTTCCGGTATTGTGATAAGCTCATCTGTAAACCCACCACCCCAGCATGCTTTCAAATATTATTTCAAATGAATTACTGAGTTAATCATTCTATTGTTTTCTAAATATTTTATTTTTTGTTAACTTTCTTGTATAAATAATATTCTATTTTATCTGTATTATTTGCTTATGTAATTTTTGATGGGACTTGTTAACACTCCGCACCACATTGTTATATATTAATGTATTTTGTTCTTGTGATTTGACTAATGCTGGCATTACTCTGACAATAAGCTTACAGACTGAATATGTTCTGCTCTTATTTTAATGTTAGTCTTAATGCCAAATGGAGATATTTAAATACTTAATTTCATTACTAAGATGTAACATCAATTCATTTTGAAAACTGGAGGATAGAATTAATGATTGAATATAAAATATATTTCCTGTCATGGAAAACTAATTTGCTAAATAAATTGAGAGAAATTCATTTTAAGCTATGCATTTTAAAGGTTTTCTATAAAGCTAATGGGATTTGTACAATGAGGATATATTTACTAAAGTTAAGAATTATTTTTCCTGGGCTTTCCCAATGGACTTACTGCAGACCCAGGTGTTTTTGTTATTTATATTTAAAAATATAATATTTATATATTTAAATACAGTCCATCAAAGCTCATCTTTTTATGTGAAATAAAAAAAAAAGTTGAGAAAAGGGTTTTTTCTTTCATTACTATCAATTCTCTGAATTTATCAAAAGTTCCTTGACTCATTTGGGTTTGTACAATGGCTTATGAACAAAATGGGTATTTTGAAAAATATTTGGAAAATTTTATAATCTAGTAAAAGAACTTATTTCCCTTCTGTGACTTTTTCCAAAACATGTGATTTATGAATAATGTAGATTAAACATTAGCTAATGTTTGATTTACATTATACCAATAGAAATGTTATGTGGCTTAGAATCTAAGTTTGTAAACCCCAAGTGTTTCTTAAGGTTATTTGTTAATAATAAGTTGTTTAGTTCATGGAATTACAATTAATCTTTGCTTTAATTACATTTTGAAATTATATTTGATTTTTTTATAGCTAATAACAATATGTGATAAATCCTGTTATTGTATATTTTAATAAAATATTTGGTTCTGCTAACTTTTGTCTACATTAGTTACAGTTTACTTTCTCCACGTTATTATAAATGAAACTGAACCTAAGTTAGCTTATAATCCAAAATAAGATTTTTTGTATTTTCTAGTAGACCAATATGCTATTTCTGAACATACTTTAATATTTTATAGCTGATTAACTGCTTCTGTAATTTTTCTATGCA